ATGTATGTTTCAATCATGTTATTATTGGGTTATTCAAAAGAAACTCTTTCTTTTTCTTGGCAGAAATTGGACATGATTGAAGTTCGAATTAAGAAAATCGTTGTTACGATTCATGAGACGTTTTCCGATGTTGTCACGTTCCAGGTAAAAGAATGGTGCGACTGGAAGGACTTCGTTCGACCTGTTTCACTAACAGCCAGGGGCGGGTTGTGTCAAGCCCGTTTAGCTTAAACGGTGGATAAATCAAAAGATACAACCGGCCCCAGTATTGTATGCAAAATCAGCTCAATACCCTGTGTGCTGTCCAGTTAGGAACTCGTAATAGCTCACAAGAATTAAATGCTTTCAATCGTGGTAACCCCACCTATGGCTGGGTAGCGCGTGTACCTTTCCCACACCCATCCAGGAAATAATTGGTTGTTCTGAATTCATTCCATTGCTTATTTTCCTCTCTCGTAGGGTCGTCCTTATCTTGAGAAAATGTCCAGTGATCGTACAGAGATGTTGTATTGGCTTCAACAGGAACGGCGAGAGACCGCTCTCGATATGGCGAAGAAAACTGTGGAACTTAGGATGTTGGAAATCCCTACGACTGTAAATAACGTTGTGTGAATGTGTCATTGTCTTTAAAATATTGTAAATGCTCTGGATCAGACGGTGTAAAAAATTCAAACGAACATCTCCACACTAAAGCAAAAATAACTATGTTGTTTAAATGGGTATTAGATAGGGGTGCGTCAAACTGGGTGTGCACTTTCGATTTACTGCGAAATTTCCATAGAATTACTATTGTAATTCAGTTAAAAATATACGTGATTAGTCTCTATATATAGAGGCTGTCGTGTTTTTGATCTATTTCATCAAGAAAATTATGGCGATTACATGTGATTGTATTTTTCTTTGACCTGGGTCATGTTGTATGGTAGTGTGATAACATCTTTTCGTGCTTTAAACAAGCAGCTAGTGAGAATTTTCTAGCATTGGCTACTCAAAATGCTTGTTTGCAAGAACTTCAGCGGGGAAAGTTTTGACACATTTTGCTGCTCAACTATTGTTCTATTACAAAGTTATTTTGTTAATTTGTTTCATCTGGCGGGAGTTTATAAGCAGTCCTTTTAAGATCTATTTAATACGATACATATGAGGGAATAGGTTGGAGACCTATTTCTCTCTAACATTTAACAGTCTTCGCTAGTGGTGGCTGGGGGGACAATGTATAAAGTCATAATTATTAGAAAGCTTCTTTTCTCTGAATGCAGTTATAAATGCATGCTTCTCAATACATGTTCAATTTGTTAATTATCATGCAGAATGATCATGTAATAATAGTATACAGCTATACAGGGTGTCCCAAAAAAATGTCCCCCTATACAAATTACTCATCTTTTGTTGAACGCGCGGTATTATACCTCTGGGAATTTAAAATAGTTTCTAAACCGAACAACAACACAAAAATTTGAAATTACAAATTGATTACTAATTCCAGTAAGAATGCCTTAAAATGGTTCAACTGACATCACAGCAGCGAGTATTTATCGTAACAAATTACACGTTAACCCAAAGCGCCGGAGTTAACGCCAGAACAGACGTCTTGTTTTAAAGAAAAAATGAAACCATAAAACTGATATATACACATGAAATAAAGATGATGTAAAGTCCGTTCTGCGCATATATTCTGCGCATAACAATGTTTGTTGACGTTGGTTATATAATCTTTACATGACGTATGAATCGTTATAATTTTCTTCTCGCTCGACTGGCTGTGACCTCTAACAACGATGTGTTCAATAGGTAAGAGACATCAGTGTATTGACATGCACGAATCAATTTGTATTTAGTTGCACCCTTGCAACAAAGTACGTAGAATAGTTCATGATCATGAATACAAATATATATATATAATATATAATATAATATATATATATATATATATATATATATGTATGTATATATATAATATATATATATATATATATATATAATAAATATTATATATATAATAATAATATATATATATATATATATATATATATATATATTATGAATTTATCTTAAAATATTGTCGTCGCTACACGGTGTTTCACTCAATCCTGTATTTGTCGCCTGAAGATCGTCTGACTGTAAAAGGTCAGGCGTGAAACACCGTGTAGCGACGACAATATTTTAAGATAAATTCAATAAATGACTCGCTCTACTTGTAATTAGTATTGAGCACTCTTTTATCCATTACAAACAATTACATTTGGATATATATATATATATATATATATATACATACATATATATACACCCATTGGCATATTGCATTTAATATCCGTGCACCCCCTGTTTAGGACCTTGGAAATTCCAGGGGTTGTATATTAATTTTTAGGATGGAAATCCAGAGGGTAGGGTAAATAACGGAAATTATGATGGAATTTCCAAGGGGGTGTAGGTAATTTTATACTGGGAAATCCAATGGGTGGATAAAATAACAAGAAAGTTAAATGGAAATTCCAGGGGGCAGTTAAATGTTTTTAGGTGGAAAATCCAGGGATGTACGACAAAAATTCCAGTGGGTTAGTTTTCAAAACAGAAATACAGAATTGGGAATAAAATGCTTAAAACCTTCTCTGACACAAATCTTGAATGAATTATATTACAGTGGATTATATTAGAAGCACTTGGAATTCCAGGCACCTTCTTTTAGAAATAACAATTTCCAAGGGTGAAACAAGAAATATTCAAATTTCCAGGGGCTGGAAGAATATTAGCCACGGAATTCCAGGGTGGTATGAGAAAAAAACCATTTCTAAAGGAAAATCCATGGGGGGGGGTGGAGTTTGCAGTTTGTCCTCAACAGGGGGTGTATGGATATTAAATGCAATATGCCATTTGCAAAAACGTTGGCCGCAGATAGATAGATAGATAGATACTCGAAGTCTAATTAGAATTGCATATGATTACATTTGCATGGGATTTCTATAATATTACACAACATATGCAATTCTAATTAGATTTCGAGTATCTATCTATCTATCTATCTGCGGCCAACGTTTTTGCAAATGGATATATATATATATATATATTTATTTATTGCTTAATAATATTTACAAATCGCTACTCAGAGTTTCACGCTAATGCGATTTTTAAACGATTGAGATACCCAGTCTCAAAACATTTCTCGCCCTTACGTCCTGACAAGGACCCTGGCTTAGGTCAAAACGTCGAGAGGTGCTTTGTCTATATTTTAGGCAGTTGTCATACCACATTTGATAAGAAGCAGTTTGAAGACGCTGCTACGCTGCTCCCTGGTTATATTGGAACGTATCCATGCACAAACATATCATGCATATAAGTCTACGGAATCCCTATATATACTGTAAAAATATTAACATTTTCAGAGCCGATGGGAGGATCATTGTGCTAAAATACCGAAAAACGCCATTTTCGGTAGAAGACAGGCAAAAGCTTAAAGCCGGCATTGGATAATAGCTGAAATTCACACGGTATAATGTTATCTGAAGTTATCGTGTGTTCGTAAGATTTTCGCCACAGGATATTCAATTTAATTTTATTTTTACCTTTACTTATATAGGGGTTTCTACTAGCATGGGTGATCAGAATGTTTCCTTTTTGGCAACAGCAATTCCCGACAATTTGCACCCTGGTGGAAAAAATGTTGTCACGATTAGTTCCGCCCAAAATTCAAGACAGATGTGAGATGGCAACAAGGGGCTTCAGCTATTGTAGCAACATATGCGATAGTACGTTCACCTTTCGACCTAAAATGTGTAGATGCTAGGGTTAGGACATGCGCTCGATCATCTGACAAGAATCGCACCTACGTACGCCTTCCAGTCAGAGGAACGAAGAGCATCATTTACAGCATTCTCGGTACTAAAATTGTATTACCTGTTTGAACAGGTATCTTTCGCCAGGAAACAAGACACTGACAAATTCCTTTTATGTTGATTTTCCCTCTCCAATATGGTGTTCTTTTTCAGTTTGAAACATCTGTAGGCATAAAACCTCGATGCAAGGATGCAATTATGAAATTAATTCAAGATATGGCTGTGGAAAAGAGCAATGATGGCCCAGATTTATTGGAAAAATTAAATACATGCCTGATGGAAAGACTGACGAGGGATGACGAAAATGTACGTAATTGAATAAATTCAATTGATAATAACTAACTAAATTTCGACCAATTTGGCAGTGAAATACCATTGATGCAACCAAACGATGTGGTTTTCACGAGCTAATTATTACTTTACGTTCATGTACCTATTGGCTTTGCAGGCACTTGTCATTAGGGCAGTTTTCCACTAGGTCAAATTTTCTCTTCTATTGTGAGAATTCAACCGTAGCGGAATACCTTGACCAGTCACAATGGAAAAGAAAATCGAGCCAAAAATTTCACTCATTCAAATTCAGCCTAGAGGTTGCTCATACAATATCGAATTTATAACTAATTATCGTTTTTCTCAGGTTATGAAATGGCTTAACCATTAACGATGTTCCCGTTAACCAACAATATGGCCCAGCAATAGGAATAAAATCGTCTGTTCTGACACGTTTATCAATCTAAAAAGCAAGGTATGTTGTCATAAGATAGTCCTGTGTACATTAAGTGCACCTAATGACCTTGATTGTGAACCCATATGAAAAGAAAGTGATCATGCAACACTTTGCAATAAATTGAAATCCCCTAAGAATAAAGAACATACCTGTTTTACATTTTTATTTTTAATACGAATCTGTATACACTGTTTAATGTACCATCTGTCACACAGGATGTTTCAGCATTTCTGAAGAGCATGTCAGATAAAACATCAAGCACATCAATGATGTTTGCTGTTCAGGATGACTACTATAACAGACATAAAAAAACGAAACGAGGAGAAATGCAAGATGGCCAAAGGTTGGAAAATTCCAATTGCAGCGATAAAACCAGAAGCACTGCACATAATTAATGGTAAATATGTCATATATGCTATAATGCTCTTTAGTGCACAAATAGTGAATAATAGAGTGTTTGGGATGTCATTTCAAGGGAAACTTACAAAATCTTAAATGAAAATGGAAAATATCTTTGATTCCCTGCATATCATTTATTATGAGCAGATAAATTCAATCTTGAATGGCCAATTCATGAAAGTGAAGATTCTGGGGATAATGCAACATCTGATCAGGCAATAACTGAAGAAGAAGAGGAGGAATTAAATAATGTAGAAGAAAGGCTGATTAATCTAGGAAAAGGTATTAATATTTAATCATAAAACTTGTATGAGTGTAGAGATGATTTTAGTTCTTGCCTTCTGTATATACCATATTACATCCAAATGAGATGGACTTGAACCATGTCTTGCATAGTTCTATAATTAGTTGCCATTAATTATTAATATAATTCATTATCATTTCTCAACGTGTAATGGATGAGATCTTGTAGTGTGTTACACACATACTGCAGGTAAATAATTTATTATTTTTATTTAGATTTTGTAAACACCTTGTGTGGTAGCACCAATGAATCAGAAAGAAAAAATGAGCCTGCCCCTGTAAGTGGCTTGGTTAACAATTTCTTGAATACTCTAATTTCAAACAGGAAAATCATGTATAGAAAAAAATTAATTAAAACATAAAAAAAAAACATGAAATCCTCACTACTCTTAGAACATTCAATTGAATTAATTACCTTATTATCTATATATCTAATTTACCTGGTACTTATTATATTATCATGTCTCACTTTTAAAACTATATAGTCCTTCTTATCACCAAACACAGCAAAATGGTGGACAACACTAACACCAAATAGAAAAGAAGTATTTCAAAAGGTAAATTCTAGTATAGGCAAATTCTGTATAGTGTTAATACAGCCCTGCTTGACAATTCCTATACAATACTTAGGAGTTAGGATAATTTGAAATGCTTCTTTATAGGGTGTCCAAGCTGGGATAAACTTTCGACCTTTGAAGAAGAGACAGACCCTGACCCAAAAATTACAAAAGGCAAGTGATTTAGATGTATTAAAAAGCAATATAAAAATAAAACAAAATTTTCATATGCAGTAAATATTTTGCAATCTCACTGCCTTTAAATATTTACAATAATAAATAGCCCTTCTTCACTTGTACACACACTTAGATAAGGCCAAGAAATGGCTATTTGCAGAGGGGACAGTCGGAGTCCAAACAAGAAAAGGTACAATATGCAAATAATATTATTAACTATATGTAAAAGCTTATATACTGGTAATGTAAAATTAATAAAATAGAATTTTTACTCAAAAAATACCTTGCAGTCAGGCAGAACATTTCAACAAGCTCCCCAACAACAGAGCACTGCCAAGCATGTGGCCTAGTAAGTCCAACAAAAGATTGGTCTAATCAGTGGGTACAGTGTGATGGCTGCGATAAATGGTTTCATTAATTCATTTTTAAGTAGCAATATGTTATTGAAATATTAATTTCACAAAATACAATCAATACACTCATCGTAACTCTATGGAATAGTCTTCCAAATTAAAGAAAATATTTTTCGAACATATATTGCTTCAGGGAGAGACCCAATTAAAATTGTTACCCCACACTAGTCAACGTGCCGAAAAAATATTTCAGACGACTTTTAAATTGATATTACATAACTAATAAAATCGTGTTCTATAACCTACAAAATATCTTCTTATAGGGAATGTGTAAAGTTAACAGCACTACCAATGGAAGAAGAACCATGGCAGTGCAACGATTGCGCATAAAAAACTTTATTTGTATATTTAAACTGACAGTGCCAGATGATTTCTGGTAGTTTCGTACTCTTGTCATTCATTCTCCTGCCGTTTTATTGTGCTAGATTGTGCTATAGTGTCAGTATTAATTTTTTTTGAATTTGGAATTGATATTTTCAACGATGTCATATAAAGTATAAAACAGCAAGTTGTAATTTATAATTTTTGGGATATTAATAATAGATAGTCTCGAAGATATTTGCCGTATAAATATACAACGCTACAAAAGCTACCTTTGTCGAAACTATCACGGTTAAACACTTTGTTGCATGCATAAAACGTTTATATAACTTATATAAGTATGTCCTTGAGGTACACGTATAACTGCTGTCCGCAAATATGCAAAAAACGGGAATCTTACCTCCATTGCTTGTCCTTCAATATCATGGTTTCAAATTATATCGCTGTTGTTGTCGGTCGCCAGAATGATTGAAGAAGCGCATTATCACAGCAGAGTCGACTTTACAAAACTCAGAGCAATTAATAACTATTAAAAACAGCAAACCAGAAAGTAAACGTATATATACGAGTATATTTTTTCATACATCGCATTGCGCCATGACAGGCATATTGACTTCCGGAAATTAACAAATATAATTAAAATTCTAAATTCTATTCTATGATTGGTTCGAAACCCTTGAAACCCGAAATCTCATTTTAGCCAATCAGGTTAGATCTTGCGAGAGGTGCTATACATATTCTACATATCTGCAAGTGCAACAACCAGTGGCAACAACACAACGAATAACCAGTGAACAACAACACCGCGGAAAAACGTCTGCGCACGCGTCAACTCTGCCTGTAAGTGAGATTAAAAATAATTAAAAAGTGGTTCCGAACGTTTCCGAAGGCTAAAAATGGCGGCAAAAAGGAGTGATTTCATTCGTATCTTCAAATCCATATTTCGAGGGCATAAATAGACACTGCATTATAAAAACTAAGAAAAAAAACGTCCGGAGAGTCCTAGAAATGGCATTCTTCAAAGACACATGTAAAAGGTGACTGTTAACAAATTTTTCGTCTCAAACATTTTGTTTATCAAATAAGCAACGACAGTTTCCGAACTTTTAATTGAGACACGTTTTATTAAAAAAATATATGTCGCCAGATACGAAACGTTTGCGTGTTCTCAATGATTGAAAATTAAGATGTATTTTACAATTTAAATAGATTAGAAGGCTTAACTTTCCGCGGGTTTTCTTAACTTTTAGGTTTGAACTTTTGTTTTCGAAAAAATTCTAAAGCCACCCCGTAAAAAAGGAAGATTTACCGTGAATTCCAGTTCGTTCGATACTCTAAATGCTAGAAGGCTTTTAATTTATGTTCTGTCTGGCCGTCATGTATATTTTTGCCTTTTCTTAACTTATATTTTATCAAATAATGGGCATGTTTTGTTCCAAAAATTGATATTTAGATTTACCATCATATTTTGATATTTCGGCGCGTGCGCAGACATTTTTCCGCGGTGTTGTGAACATGTACAACTGGCACAGTTGCACAGAATTCTGGCACAGACATAGATTACGAACTTCCTCGCGCCAGTCCGGCGCCGTCAAAACTCGTACTCCTATTGGTTAAGAGTCTTAGACAGAAAATACTTGCTCTGATCCTGAGATAATTCATATTTGTCCATTTTACAGCGCGTTGTAACCCGAAAGAAAGCCTTTAATTACGGCCGGATTTCGCGATTCAGAAAGCTAGCTGGAAGGAAAATAATCAGGAGATGATGATCATGAACTTTCTTTAACCATGCTAAGGTATTTTAATTTAAAACCAAACTTTATAAAAAGTGTAATACACTATTATATGATCTATCTGAATCTTACATGTTTGAAATGCATGAAAATGTGGAACCAACCTTGACTACATTTCAGACGTTAATTTTAATCTTTTGGTATAGCTACAATAGATGCGAGTTAGAGTGATGAAATAAAGGCAGTTATACATCAGGGGCCGGTTCGAAAGGCGTTTAGCTTATTAAAACGACAGATCTAAAGTTCAAAATAGAAAACAAAATTATGTATAGGATACAGATTGCAGAAAGTCGCTCGCTCATATCTGTTAACGAAGAATATATCACCAATTTGATTTTGGATTTAATTTTGTTCTAAGTAATACTTTTATTCGTTTATAAGTCATTCGTTTTGTTTTAAGAATGAAATTGGTAAGGCTATGGATAGTTAAAAGACTATAAATGATAAGATACTAAAAAGTGATTTTATTATCCAAGTCAGATTGTCGACCCTGTCAGAGTCACTAAATCTGTCATAGACAATATGTCATATGTAATGTAAAATTCGGAACGTCGCGCACTGAGCTATATATACAATGGAGGGAGCAACCAAAGATACAGAAATTGAAGCCGGAAGTAGCGTGCGGTCGCCAGTGGACGCGCGTACACGCGTAAAAATATCATATCTTGTAGCAAGTTGTTCACAAGCTTGTAACAAGATTTGTTCACACTGCTTGTCCCGAACTGTTGACAAGTCTGATACAAACATGATGTGACAATATTGCTACAATCCTTTTTTGTCAAGTTTGTAGCAATGTTGTTGTATCATATCTGATAAGACTTGTCAGAACAATCTTGTAACAAGTCTGATAATGCCATTGGACTTGCTACAAGTTGTTAACAGCTTGTCCTAAACTTGTTACGTATACAACAAATTGGAACAAGCAGTGCAAATAAATCTTGTTGCAAGCTTGTGAACAGACTTGTAACAACTCTGCTGCAGACTTGTTACAACTTGTGTGTTTTTACCTGTGTACATGGCATAAAAATTGACATGCAGGTTTCACATGCAGGCTAGGTTTCACTATGCAATTTTACTGGCAACGTAAGTTGCCATGAAACAATGCCTTTAGGAAAAAGATACCCTAAAAATGGAGACGTATTCGTTGTATACAAAATTTTCTCCGTATAGCAAATAAGTGCAGTATAAAATGCTGGATTTAATGCGTATCTGAAATTTCCTGTGGCAGAACTTTATAATTATTTAATTCAGAGTTTAATAGGGCAAAGGAAAGCTTGTGTTTTAGGGCTAGGGTTAGGGTTGAGTTGTCAATTGTAATACAATACCTGATACTTCTAGACTACAGATCATTGTCACATCCTTGTATATAGACCACATAGACAGTACAGTGCAAAAAGCTTGGGGGCCAACAAGTAAAAAAATAGAGTTGGGATATCACCAATATGTACATTAGAGTTAATTCACATTTTACCCAATAGACTTATTCTTATGTCAAATACCTACCTATGTTTCATGCTTAGTGGGGTTGAAAACAATGTTCAAAAAACATGTGAATATAATAATTATTTGACTCTGGCATGCTGAAATAAGTAATATGGAAATCAGGTCATTCTGTAAAAAAGAATGGTTGGGCTAGTATATTTAATAATTGTGTATTGTTTTAATTTATAGCTTGTGTCTTGAGTTTGCAAGATTTGTTCTTTTCTGACATTTGTTCTTTTCAAGCTGTTTGAGGTATGTGTTGCTTAAACTGCCATGTTTCCCAATAAGAGAAACAGTATGTTGTCATGCTTGAAAGTGTTATAAAAAAAGTGTTTTAGTGAATAAAAAACGATATGGCTGTCAGCAATAGTGGCTAATGCATATGCTTTCTTAGTTCTGAAGAGAAAGTATGCAAAACTGTAGTTAGGTTAATCAAATTCAATGTTTACGCTAAATTTGAAAGTAAATAATATGAACTTACTGTGTTCATGAGAATAAGAAAGATCTGCATTCGCCCAAAATTGGGAATTGAAGGTCGACCAATCAGGCAGTACAAAATATTATGCACCCTCCCCAATTATTGCCTCTGGTTTCCTACCTGAAGGCAAACAAAAAGGTAGCTACTATCAGTGGTGGATCAAGCGGTGTGCAAAATAAATCACAAAGCTTAATTTTAAATTCAAAACACCTTAATAACAATGCTATTGGTTTTAAAAATAATATTTTTACATTAAAATCTGCCAATGTGATTCCAATTTTAAGCTGTAGTAATTTATTCTGCACACCCCTAGATCTGCCATTGGCTACCACATTCAAAATTACTTTATATAAATTACTTAGATATACAAAATACATGACTATATTACAATGGCTACAATTATAATTTTGGTAGGAATTCATATAAGCTAAAATTACAAAAGGTCAAGACAAATATTTTTATCACCAATAACATGTGATTAAACAATATGGTCTGATCCAAACATGCGTGAGAGTTAAGAAAAGTGCGTGAAACATTAGCCAAAGTTGAGTGATTTTGCAAGCTTTTCCTAACTCAAGCAACATTTCCAAGTGTTTGGATCAGCCCATCCAAACACAGGAAACCATTAAGTAATTATTTTATAAAAAAACAACAACAAAGTAGTGCTCCAAGTTTGATTTCCATAAGTGAATTTCCGTGTTTGGATGGCCTGATCCAAATTGGGCTTCGATTAATCAAAACACACATTATATACCCACATTATTTTGTAAAAATAATTCTTTACTGATAATTCAATATCATCAGACATATAATGTGGAGCATCGCATGCTTTTGCTAGACAGTGATACCATTATTTGTTACATCTACACAATGATCATAGAATTCTGTTGTGTTTTAAACAATTCTAAGTAATTTTAAACAATTCTAAGTAATGTCTTGCATCAACAGCATGATGTTTTAGTGCAGGTGCTTTGGGCACCTTTTGCAGTCAAAGATTTACACAATACATACATTACCCATTATTACAAGTACACCATTATTATCATTACATCATTACATTTAATTTTTATCATTGCATTAATTATTAATTATTATTAAATTATTGAAGTAGTGCATTATAAAAGTACCGGTAAATCATAAAAAACTGTCCAGAGTTTAAGAAATTACATTGAATGTTTATAAATAACTAGAATTCCCTCCTGTTTATATATGAACTAGTCTAGGACTTATTTTTTATTTCTAATCAAACTTATATTTTTAATATATATGTCAGACATTCAAAACTAAAACTAAGAAAATATACTATGTTCATTCTTCTATTAATTATTCATTATTTGTTTTTAGGGGTTTTTCAATGTTGTTCTTCATTTCTAATGTTTGGTGTCCGTGTTTCTTGTGTTGGTCGCTGGTCTCTTGGTATGTCAACATCATCTAGTGCCTGGGGTATACCTGGAACCAGAAGCAAAGGTATAATTATATTAAGTCATGCCAGATTTGTTGAGGGGGGGGGGGGGTTCTGTGGAAGGCATGGCCCCCCTTGTTCTCTTATGCCAGTCTGAAAGTAGGGCTAAGCTCCTTAATAATTTAATGACAGGTATGCATAATAGTTGTTGATATATCCAGTGTTAAACCATGTTTTCTTCAAGTTTTGTTTTGAAAGTTGTTACGAGTGGCAAAATCTGAACTTCCTGCTTTTAATAGATTTGAAATCTTTTGTCCCAGTATTGGCTGGTATAAGGCCTAAGT